GAACTGGGTAAGACGCAAAGAATTTAATTCTATCTTCAAACGAACTGTTTGGTATTTCTTTTGTTGTTTCATTTGTAATGAGATAGTATTCCCCCAAAATGTTAACTTTTGCAGAATTTCTTCTGGCGTCCAGGATACTGGGATATCATAAACCAAAATGTCTCTGACTTGTGATGTACCATCATCACCTGGTTTATGACCTGTAATAACTTGCTGAATTATATTTTTATTTGACTTCTTTTTTTTATTCGAAGATTTTGTCAAATTAGATAAATTATTATCTGGTTGTTGTAATAGCTGCGGCTGAGGCATTGTAACATCCAGATTAGATACTGGTTCTACTGGTGTGACGTCCATATCAAAAGGTTGATCAACATGTGATTGAGATCCAGAGGCATCCGCAATCGACCGATTTATATTAACATCTTGATCATCACCTATTTGATCATCATCATCAACAGTATTTCGCATATAATCATCTGATTCATCATTTGTTAATGGATCAGAATCAGAATCAACAGTTTGGTGTTTTTTCTTTTTATTCTTTTTAGCCTTTCTTTTTTTAGACTTATCCTCATGTTTTCTCACAACATTCATTATTTGCTTTCTTTCAGCATATCTCTGTTGTATCCCATCATATACTGCGTTAAAACCATGAGAAGCAGAGTACATAGCAACATGTAAAAAAAATGAGAAACTTTGAGGAGTCATTTGGTAACGAGAGGCTCTATTCTCCCAACTGAGTATGTCTTCATTTGTTAATCCAAAATTTGCTTTTAAAATATTATTTTGAACTTCTGTTGAACGTCCCTTAAAAAACGAAGCACTAAGACTTTCACAATATTGTATATATTGGAAATATGTAGTTTTTAAAAACCTATTTTCATCACCCATAATAAGCATAAGAAACTTATTTTCGGCTATTTGTATTTTTCTTGTATCTTCCATTTTAATAAAAAACTGAGTAAAATAAAATTAAAATTTTACTGCGGAATTGTTATGTTTTTTAATTTTTGAAGGAAGTGTTCAATGTTTTAGATATTCATTATTAATTGCTTGTCTATTACAATAATATTTAATTTAAGCATTAAGCCAAACAAAAAGAGAAAAAGGACGCGTGCACAATATGACCAAAATGGTACGATCACTGAAATGCATTTAGGAATGATCAGCGATAAGGATAAGGATCATCTGGAAAAACATTTTGCCGATAGGTCACATGACATTACTTTTTATGACGTACCTGCATATTGGAGTGATGGAGAGATCTTTACACTATTAAATGATAATGTTGGATTTGTGGAGTATATGAAAACCAAAAGATGTTATAAGTACAAGACCGTTAGAGTAACGTTACGCTTTAGCAATGCTTATGAGAAAATTTATAAAGAGGGTGGCGTGAACGTGTCATTAACAAGGAAGAATCATATTTTTTTTTGAGGATGTTTGATTCAAAGTTGTTGTATGTGCAGATTAAAGATAAATTTCATTGGCAAGCAAGTAAACAACTCGGTGAGGATATTCAACAAGATGATTGTTCAATTATAAAGGATTACGTTAAAATTTACCACGCTTTTTTTGAAAAAGTGATCAGAGTCAATGGAATGAGATTTTTAATTTTATATTTTCATAGAGAATCAGATTTGATGATAGAAATTAACGCGTCAATTGAGATACATGATATTGGATGTGGATTATGGATAAAAAAACTGAATGATTACATTGACAAATCAGGAAATTTGCAAGAACTGGTTAAAAGGAATGATTTTCAGAATACAGCCTCAAGTTCAAGTGGCACTTTGATAGGACAACAACAACTAAGTAGACACGTCAATTCTTTGAAGCCACAAAAACAATGGAGGTAATTTAATGAAATTTGGGAAAAAAAATATGAAAAGGTAAAAAACATAATAAAATAGCAAAAATTACTAAAGAAATTTTTTCAGAATGTATTTAGATTAGGTATTTTAGCTTGGAATTTAGTATAGTATTGGATTTTTACGTGAATAGCATGCTGGTTACGTTAGTCTATACTTTAGATTTTCTTTGCTAAAACCCCTATTTTTTTAATTACACTGTTACCATAATATAACAACATAAATTTTATGCTTTAACAGTGTAGTTTACTAGTTTTGTGATTACTGTATAGTAATTATTATAGTCATAATACATTTACAACATTATAATAATATTGTAAATTACATTATACCATTACTTTTATAAATATTTAATAATTCGTATAAAAATTAAAAATAAAAAAATAAATCTAACATTACTTGTCTAAAGTTTTTATAAGGAGAGGTGTAGTTTTGTTTTCGAAACTAGCTTCAATGTATTTTTTTTGTTTATTTTACTATTAGTCAATGTAATATATTACGATTGCTAATAAAATGATTTAAATACGTTTATAAAAAAAAAATTAAAAAAAAAAATAATTTAAGCATTAAATAATCTCTCAAATGTATGGTTATCAGCATTTTATTTCATCATATGCTGATCATATATGTAAACTCAAAATAGAAGAAATGTTTTAATCATTTATTTATTAATTATATTTTAATTTATATAAAATATGTACATCAGAGTTTATTTTTATGTGGTCACTAGAGATGGCAATGGTCATGGTTATTAACCGGTCATGACCAGTTATGACTGTGACTGATATCAGTTGGTCAAAAGCTTCTGACCAACCGTTTAACTGACCAGTTTAACCAACTGGTTTGACTGACCATTTGACTGACTGTTTAACCAACTGTTTAACCAACCATTAACTGACCATTTAATCATTTAACACTTTTTTTTACGAACTTAATCAATAAAAAAGTTGTTATACCATTTTCTTTAGTGGATTTAATCAAAAAAAATACTTTAACATTTTTTCTTAATTAAATTCATTAAAAAAATGGTTAAACAGTCAGTTAAACGGACAGTCAAATGGTTGGTTAAATGGTCAGAAAAACGGTCAGCCAAAATAGTCAGTCGGTCAAAGGCCCTTAACCGGTTATGACCAACTGATAACTGACTGTGACCGACCATTGCCATCCCTAGTTGTCACCATTGATTATTGTCATAATCCCAATCATCTATATCCAAACTGCTTTAAAAGTAGTTCCAAATCCCCTTTTGCTAATTATTAAACAATCTTCAAATTCATCATTTTCAATCAACTTTATGATATGGATCGTATTTTTAGTTTTTAATTGTGCTTTTTGAATAAATTCATCAACATCATGATTTCCACTTGTTTAATTTTTGAAATTTTGTTGAAATCTTTTAGAATACATAACTGACAATAATCATAACTAGTATTAAGTTGCTTACATTCATTACATAAACCATTTTCTATATAACATTCTTTTAATTCTTTGTCTGTTGTTAATTTATTGACGAATTGAAGACATACTAAGCTTTAAGAAATCTATCATATTCAATGTATTCTAGAATATTTATCCAAAGAGAGAATTTAGGAATTTGGAATTGTTTTAAAGTAATTGAAATACAAATCTTTTCCGCATACTTATATAGATTGATATCATATTATAAAATAAAATTGATTTCATTAACAATACGTCACGTATCATATATTTTAATTTAACTTATTTGTAATATTTCATAAAAGATAATTTTAGTAGTTTAATAAAATTAATCAATTTATAAACTAAAAATAATTTGTGAAAGAATTATTAATACAAGAAGTACAAGAAGTGAAAAAAGCATTAATAAATATTATTATTTAAATATATTTTAAAATTTTTAATTTAATAATATATTAAATTTAGTTAGTAATATGTAGAATTGGGTAAAAAGTTAACAAACTTTTGACTAATTATGTAAAATTTATACCTTTATATTAAATTGTAAAGGAGGTATTTTCATCTTGGTAAAAAGGAGCAAAATTATTTGTAACCTTACCAGTCAGCGGTCATATCATTTCTTTTATTTATAAATAATTATACAGTCAACTCTCTATAAATGCACCCCCCTTGGGACCAGGTATAAGGGTTAGAGGTCTGTATTGACCACTATTTTACAACCTGGCCCAGCCCGCACTTGGAAATTAACATAAAGTGCCTGGCCTAGTCTGGCCTGGACTTAAAATATTAAAAACCTGGCCCAGACCGGACCTGGACTTTTATTATATCATTTTGTTATAAAACAAAAAAATCGGCCAACTTAATTTTGGCCAGTTTAATTTCAACCGAAATTAAGACGATTTTGGCCAGAATTACGAAAATCTGGGTTCAACAAAAATTCATGTGCCAGCCCGGACCCAGCCCAGGTGAATTTTGAAGAAAGTTTGCCGGCCCAAACCTGGATCTGGGTCTGGGCTGGTTAGGGTTTCTGGGTTCCGGGTTCTTGGTCCCGTTTACAGACCTCTAATAAGAGTGCATTTAAAAAGGATGTGCATTTATAGAATATATATAAATCTGTATGATATTAATCTAAAATTAAGGTAATACAAAAATTTTATAAGTAAACTATAAAATTTTTTTATAAAGGGTACATTTACGGAAAATATATATATAAAAACCGTGCATTTAGCATTAAGGCTCAAGTTGGGACTAGATAAAAGGTGCATTTATAGAGGGTGTGCATTTATAGAGGGTGCATTTATAGAGAGTTAACTGTAATTAAAACAGTTCTAAATAACATATTATGGACCAATAATTGAACAATATATCTTTCAATAACATTTGTAAATAGCTTAAAATCCATCTAAAAGGAATCTTATTCATCATATAACGATAATATGTTGTATAAATTTAGAGAATCCTCCTCAATATTTGAAAATTATTATATGGAATCCATTTAATAATAATAACATTTGGCTCAAGTAATTCCATTTGACAATTTTTTATTAAATTACTAATATCATTATTTTCAGATGTTCAATTTGAAAAATTATATTTAAATAATATTAAACATAATATTAATAAATCATAATATAATGTAGCAATTCTCACAAATTCCTCTTGTTATAATTGGTAAATCAAATTCGATTGGTTGTTGGTAGAATGGGAAGTCAGTAAAATGATGCTGGTTAATTTCATGTCAGTGAAAGAAAATACCATGTCATAGTTAGAATAATACTACAAACAAGAAATAATGTAGGCATTTACTAGTTTTTCTTCTATACAGTATAATATATATCTTCAATCATATGCTTGAAAATAATACATATATTTTAATTAATTTCAAATTTTTCTTTATAATCCAACATTGCTCAAAAATTTATTAAAATTAAATTTTCAAATTTTTCTGTAAAGAAATTAATTCCTTTAACTCGTTTGAAATAATAAAATTGATTGAAAATTATGACGTACTTGTGACAACTGATTAAAAAATCAGAATACAAATTTGGGAATTGGAGATATTGATAATGATTAAAGTTATAAATTTACTTTTTCGCATCTCTAAGGACATTATTGATTGAAGGAATTATGGAAAATGCTACATAATTAAATAGAAGTGAGCGTTTGAATAAAATTCCATTTTTATACAACTCATAAAATTCCAAATATTCTAATAGAAACTTTACGATGATTAACTTAACAAACATGAATGAGTATAACAGTCGGATGTAAGTTGACAAGGACCCAGAAGTATATATATAGGGGTCAGGTGATGAAAAAAATTTTTTACTATGAGCTGTACACATTTTTTCAGGGCCGGAATTATGATAAAGTCAGTCGGTTACTATAATAGGAAATAAAATTCTGACCGGCATTATCAAAAATTATCTAAAAAAGGAAAGATTTTCATGATTTTTTAGTTCAAAATACGCAAACTCAAGCCTGAGCCTTTTATATATTTCTGGGTCCTAGTTGACAAGCCATTTTTTATTATAAAAATAAATAATAGTGTTTAAAAAATGTAATTTTTTGCGAAAATTAAGTATCGATGATCATTGATGCACCTCATGCCGTGTAACCATACTAATTACAAATAAATAACCAGACGCCCCTTTTTTTTCTTTTTTTCTTTTAAAAAAACATGACATTAATTTTTCATTCCAGTCTTTCAAAGGACCTTTCCTTAATATTAAATGACGCTGACGACTATGATGTTATTATTCAAGTTGGTGATAACCAAAACACAAAAGAATTTCGTGCACATTCTGTTATCTTACGTGCTCGTTCTCCCTATTTCAAAGGTGCTCTTTCAGCAAATTGGATTACAAAGAAAAATAATATGATGATGTTTAATAAACCAAACGTTACTCCAATTGTTTTCGAAATGATTTTAAAGTAAGAATAATTCTAATAATTTTATAATTCTTTATTCATTTATTTCGTAATTTCTGTATTTATTTAACAATATATTGTTTTAAGGTATATTTACATTGGTGAAATTAATTTAACTAAACAATCGGGTGAAAATATTCTTGAATTGCTAGTTGCAGCTGATGAGTTACTTTTTGAAGAATTATTCGATCATGTTCAAAATTATTTAATTGAAAAACAAGCCAAATGGGTTCATGAAAATTTTGTATTTGTTCTTAATACTGTACTTAAATTTCCTAGTTGCAAGAAATTGCAAGATTATTGTCTTGATTCTACCTGCGAATATCCACTACAATTTTTTTCTTCAAAAAATTTCCCCTCAATAAATAAGGAAATACTTCTTGGCTTAATTAAAAGAAACGACTTACGAATTGAAGAAGTTATCATTTGGGATTATTTAATCAAATGGGGTATTGAACAAACCCCCGGTCTTGAAAGTAATAGGGCAAAGTGGAATGAGGAAAATTATAAAGCGTTAAAGAAAACCTTAAATCAATTTATCCCTCTCATTCGATTTGTGGAAATTTCTCGTGCAGATTTTTTTGATAAAGTTCGTCCTTACAAAGCTATTATTCCTAAACATATTTTTGAGGAAATTGAAGAATTTTATTATAAAGATACCTTACCAAAAACTACAATTTTACCACCTAGAACTGGTCTTCCAGATAAAAAAGAAAGCTTTAAATCAAATATTATCAAACCAGAACTTGCAAATATAATCGCCAATTGGATGGATAACAAAGATGCTAAGTTTACTCACACCATTAAGAATCCATTATATAAATTCAAACTTATTTATTGTGGTAGCCGTGATGGAATTAACAATAATTCATTTAAAAATAAATGTAATGGTCGAGTACCAAGCTTAGTTTTAATTGAAGATAAAAAATCAAACATGATTTTTGGAGGATATAGTTCTATCGGATTTAGCTCATTAGGAGATCAATATTTATCTGAAAATAACGTACGTTATTACTATTCATCAGATAATTTTATTTTTTCATTTGAAAACAGTGAAGATGTACAAAATATGAAAATAGGACGTGTAATTAATAGTTATAAAGCCATTTTGGAAATGGGAGATAGTGTTGGGTTTAATTTTGGTTGGGGTACTTTTGCTATGATTAATCAAACTTTCCAGGTTAATAAACGGGATAATTATGAAAGTATTTCAAATGAAGAACATATAACTGGTACTATTAAAGAGATAGAAGCATTTGTTGCCACTAGTCACTAGTCTTTCCTTTTAATTATATTACATATGTTAAACAAAATTATAAATAAATAAATTATAAAGTTATCAGTCACAAGTCTAATATTGTAATTATGATAATAATTGAAATATCATATAGATTAGTCGAAAATGTGGCTGTTTCTTAAAATGTGATATATTTGATAGAGATATAATTTGTATAAAATAAGTATGATTTACTCTTTATTGATTTCTTAATAAAATGTGTATACTTTCTAACAAGATTAATTCTCGAATTTTATTAAATTTTGAAGTTTAAATTTATTAAAAATTGTAAAATCACTGGCTAACTTTTTAAATTGCATAACTTTTTAAGAAAAAATTTTGATTGCATTTTTTGTTAAATAATAAATTTTATTTATTGCTGTTTTCAATTTGGTGCAATTATAGTGTAACATCCCTAAAAATAATCAATTTTTAAAAATTTGTGAATACTCGTGATTTTTTCAAATAATCATCTAGAAAAGGGTTGTTTGCCTATGATTACCGGGGAAATCATGAAAAATTCCCAATTATTTGAGTAGTTTACTTATAAAAAACTGTTATTGTTACAACAAAGCTAAAAAAACTTGCGTATAAGTGAACTACTCGAAAAATTGAGATTTTTCTATAATTTCCACTGGTATTCACAGGTTATCAACTATTTTTTAAATGATTTTTTAGAAAAATCATGGGTATTCACAAAATTTTGATAATCATATTTTTATAGGAGTGCTAGCTGTGATCGCACTAAATTAAAAACAGCAATAATTCGAATCAGAAATAGGTTGGCAAAAATCAATTATGCTTTACGGTATCCGGTCCGATGATCTTTCTGAGGGCTATACTAATTTTCGCCCCAGGTTCCCATTGGGTACGATGTGAAATTAGCTCGGATTCTATGTAATGACGGCAGAAGACATAGGTCCGGATGATTACAAATGATTACAAATCAAAAAATTCCAGATGTTAATCAATCAGACCCAGTTCACCAGCCAGAATCAATGGAACTAGGGACGAAAATTAGTATAGCGCTTTTAGAGTATTGGTTAGCACAGTCATGTGAATTTGAATCCCAAATCATCGGATTATCCACACGAATTTTTTTTTTGCTATTCACTTTATAATGAGAGTTATTGAAAAAAATTTTTTTTACTAATTTAAATACTTAATGAGATAATGGTTGTAGTAGATTTTATAATAAGCGATCAAAATCACAGGACTCAGCACAGTTAACTCAGTCCGATGGTAGCAAAGTCCGATAATTCAGTCTGCATCAAATTAACATGACTGTGCTAAAAATTGACATGACTGGACTCAGAAAGATCAATCTATTATTTAAAGTATTGATGTATTTTAGAAAATATCCACAAGATTGTTTACAATTTACCATTAAAATTCAGTTTGTTTTTTTTTTTAAACTTTCTGTTGCATGAATCTTCATTAATTTACAAAAGGTTACACACTATATTTCGTATAAAATTATTTGTTAATATAACTTCAAGAAATAATAGTAATTGTATTATTTAGATTGATATTGGAAATTTCTGAAAGATTTTCTTCATATTAACGTTGATCATGATGCGAAATCATAAATCATTGGTGTCACTACATGCTGTGTAACTTTCCTAATTGCTAAATAAATAACCAACCAAAAAAATATTCATTTAACGCCACTTTATTTTTATTTTTTCTCTTAAAAAAAATGAAATTGGTTTTTCATTCCAATCTTTCAAAGAATCTTTCCTTAATATTAAATGATGCTGACGACTATAATGTTATTATTCAAGTTGGTGAAAACCAAAACACAAAAGAATTTCATGCACATTCTGTTATCTTACGTGCTCGTTCTCCCTATTTCAAAAATGCTCTTTCCGCTAATAGGGCTGCAAAGAAAAACAACATGATCATGTTTAATAAACCAATCGTTACTCCAATTGTTTTTGAAATGATTTTAAAGTAAGAATAATTTATTTTATTATACTATAATTGTTACTAATTTAGTAATAATTTATTATATATTTTTTAAGGTATATTTACACTGGTGAAATCGATTTTGCTAAGCAATCAGGTGAAAATATTCTTGGATTGCTAATTGCAGTTGATGAGTTACTTCTTGAAAAATTATTCGATCATATTCAAGATTATTTAATTGAAAAACATAATAGCTGGATTGGTAAAAATTTTATGCTTGTTCTTAACGCTGTGTTTAAATTTTCTAATTGCAAGAGAAGGGAACTTTGAATCAAACATTATCAAACCAGAACTTGCGAATATAATCGCTAATTGGATCGATAACAAAGATGCTAAGTTTACTCGCACCATTAGTGATCCGTTATATAAATTTAAACTTATTTATCGTGGTAGTCGTGATGGAATTAACAATAAATCATTTAGAGGTAAATGCAATGGTCGAGTAGCGAGTTTAGTTTTAATTGAAGAAAAAAAATCAAACATGATTTTTGGAGGATATAGTTCTATCGGATTTAGCTCATTAGGAGATCAATATTTATCTGAAAATAACGCACGTCATTATTATTCATCAGATAATTTTATTTTTTCATTTGAAAACAGTGAAGATGTACAGAATATGAAAATAGGACGTGTAATAAATAGCAATAAAGCCATTTTGGAAATGGGAGATAGTGTTGGATTTAATTTTGGTTGGGGTTCGTTTTGTATGGATAAGAAAGTTTTCTATATTAACAAACGGAATTATTATGAAAGTATTTCAAATGAAGAACATATAACTGGTACTATTAAAGAGGTAGAAGCATTTGTTGTCACTAATAACTAATCTTGAAATTTAATTTTGGCATATAATAGTAATTAAATATCAAAAATTTTAAAGGTTAAATTAGACATTTTATAATGAGATATTCATAAGAGGAATACTTAACAGTATTAAACATCCCTCAGAAATAAAAAAATCTTTAAGAATAATAGAATTTGGCCATGAAAATCGTTTTAGAAAAAAACTAACAAAGAATCAATAATCATATCATTTATAATATACGCAAATTAATCAAAATGTTTGATTTCAAAAATCATACCATTCATCAATGACTTTATAATATATTAAATTCCTTAAGTTGCAGCGCTTCTTCCCTTGATACTAAGACAATATATAATTAAAATTATATCAATAATTGTATGCATTATATAAAGAAATATAATATATACTTACTATCAAAATCTTTAGGGTAAATTATTGAATTTATTATAGTTTATAAAAAATCGAATTATGCCCAAAAAAAGACTAAGTGATTTTTTGCTTATTACCATCAGAGCAAAATTAGATTAGTTCCGGAGACTCATGTCCTTTTATATTTATGATGATTAAAGAGACATAACTAATTTAAACTTTTTTTAATTATTTTTATCTACAGGTTCGTAATGAATCAAAAAACGTATGATGATTATTTTTTTCACAGTAATACAGGACATTTTCCCGATAACTTTGACCAGCATTACAGCAAAATACAAAATATACGGGACACTTGAGAAATTTGATTGTCTGGTTGTCGGGTTGTCTGGTTGTCGGGTTGTCGGGTTGTCGGGTTGTCGGGTTGTCGGGTTGTCGGGTAGCCGGGTTACTCGGCAGTAGGTAAAGTAATTAATTGTTACATGTTATATACTATTATACTATATTTATTTATATAATACGATTATATAATCTGATATACTCATGTCACGGGTTTATTTATACTTTTCTAATAAATAACCTACTGCCGAGTAACCCGGCTACCTGACAACCCGACAATCGTATTTCGAATTTTGCTGTAAAACTAATGTAGGCCAATGGTGTCGAGCAAACGTCCTGTCGGGAAAATGGATGTCAGGATTTTGTCGACATCGTACTTGTATTAGTATTAACAACTATAAAAACATGGAATAGATCAGGTGTAAATGAATTATATGTCATGATTCAATTCAAAATTATTTAATCAGATTGCTCTAAACATAACAGTTATACAGACCTTTTTTAATTATATAGATGATAACTATTAAGTCATATATAAAAAGTTTCTCACACAATGTATTCAAAAAATACATACATATTAGTCATGAAATATATGTTTCATTTGGATATTTCTGTTTATATATGAATAAAACGTTAATTTATCTTATATTTTTTTTTATTTTATATTCAATTTATTAATTTCTAAATAGATCAAAATTTTATAACCTTTGTAATCTCTCATTAACCTTAATATCAAGTACTACGATTATTTAGTTGAAGATAATCACAATTTTAAATTTAGATTAAACACAGTTTTTACTATCAAATTTATTTCTCAATATTTTTTGATTTAATTACTTTCTATCATATGAAATCGTCATTTTTTTATTGACTAATTTGCAAAAATTTCTCATAAAAATATATTTGTACAAAATTGTATATTAAAAATAATAATAAGATTTCTGAAATAGGATTAATTTTCTGCGGCAAATAGTTTTTTCGTGATTATTGTATGATTTTAATTTAGAAATAGTATTTTTTTTTTTTTTAGCTGACGATACATGAGTTCCTTTTTTTTTAAAAAAAATAGCAACGCACTTTATTGAATTATCTGGATCCAAAAAGGATCATAATTACATAGAAAGTACCTAGAGCGAAGAAAGATAAACTTTCTACACCCTATAACTAAGTAATCGTATCAAAAATTCTAATTTAAAGTCTAACTAATTGTGTTTGACTAAAATTTAATATTGTTTTTTTCTTAAACTACGCTACTATGCTACACAAAAACTAAAACTAATTACACCAGACGCCATCTAACTCTATATATACAGTACAAAAAAAAAAAAAAAAATGAAAAAAAGGCTAATCCCTAAAAACCGCAGAAACGTTATGGGCGGATCCCACTTGAAAAAAAAGGTCTCGACCTAAGCCAGCCCTAATTGACATTCACTAAATCTAAAAAGACACCCTAAACCAAAACTACAGTTTACCGTTTAAAGCAAAGCTAGACTAGTACCCTGAAAAAAACCAAGAAATGTCCCCCAAACCAAAAATTATTTACACGAAAAAACTACACGATAAAATAAAAAAAAATTTCTCTCCAAAATGACGTCAAACCTTAAGTGATAAGATTGCGAAATCACCTGATTATTGTTTGGTTGCGCCATTTACGTCACCTTAATCTGATTGGTGCCGAAGATCATCCAAAATTACCTTTTGTGATTTCGAGCACGTGTAAAATTTTGTACTGCGCCACGGCAACGAAAAAATTCCCATTCATATGAACATGATGCCAATTACAATGCGAATAAATAAACTAATGCTGTGTGACCTTCCTAATGGCTAATGGCTTAATAAATAACCGACAATAATTTATCCGTACGCCATTTTTTCTTATTTTTCCTTTAAAAAAATGAAATTAGTATCTCATTCCAATCTTTCAAAGGACTTTTCCTTAATAATAAATGGTGCTGATGACTACGATGTTATTATCCAAGTTGGTGAAAACCAAAACACAAAAGAATTTCGTGCACATTCTGTTATTTTACGTGCTCGTTCTCCCTATTTTAAAGCTGCGCTTTCAGCCAATTGGATTACAAGGAAAAATAATATGATTATGTTTAATAAACCAAACATTACTCCAATTGTTTTTAAGATGATTTTAAAGTAAGATTTAAGAATGATTTATAATAGTCATTAATTTAGTAATAATTTATTTATAATAATATATTTTTTAAGGTATATTTACACTGGTGAAATTGATTTGGCTAAGCAATCGGGTGAAAACATTCTTGGATTGCTAATTTCAGCTGATGAATTACTTCTTGAAGAATTATTCGATTATGTTCAAGATTATTTAATTGAAAAACAAACCGAATGGATTCATGAAAATTTTGTATTTGTTCTTAATACTGTACTTAAATCTCCTAGTTGCGAGAAATTGCGAGATTATTGTCTTAACTCTATCTGCAAACATCCAACACAATTATTTTCTTCAAATTCTTTCCCCTCAATAAATAGGGAAATACTTCGTTGCTTGCTTAAAAGTGACGACTTACAAATTGAAGAAATTATCATTTGGGATAATTTAGTTAAATGGGGTATTGAACAAACTCCTGGTCTTGAAAGTGATAGAGCAGAGTGGAACAATGAGAATTATAAAGCGTTAAAGAAAACCTTAAATCAATTTATTCCTCTCATTCGATTTGTGGAAATTTTTCGTGCAGATTTTTTTGATAAAGTCCGTCCCTATAAAGCTATTATTCCTAATCATATTTTTGAGGAAATTGAAGAATTTTATTATAAGGACACCATACCAATATTTACAATTTCAACACCTAGAACTGGTCTTTTAAATAGAAAAGGGAACTTTAGATCAAATATTATCAGACCAAAGCTTGCAAATATAATCGTCAATTGGATTGATAAAAAAAATGCTATGTCTACTCGCACTGGAAATGATCCGTCATACAAGTTTAACCTTGCTTATTATGGTAGTCGTGATGGAATTGACAATGATACATTTAAAAATAAATGCAATGGTCAAGTGGCGAGTTTAATTTTAATTAAAGAATATAAATCAACCAAAATTTTTGGTGGTTATAGTTCCATTGGGTTTAATTCATTAGGAAAGAATTATTTTGATGAAAATGGTTACCGATTTTATAATTCATCAGATAATTTTATTTTTTCATTTGAAAACAGTGAAGATATACAAAATATGAAAATAGGTCGTGTAATAAACAAATCTAGAGCCATGATGGAATATTTCTGTAATGGGTTTAATTTTGGTGGTGGTTCATTTCGTATGGTTAATAATATGTTTCTTCTTAATAATTGCAATAGGTATGAAAAGATTTTGAATGATGAATATGTCGGTACTATTAAAGAGGTAGAAGTATTTGTTGTTACTAAAGAATAGTACCGTATTCCTCCGAAAATAAGCAAAATATTTTTGTTATAACATTGCTTATTTTCGGATAGTTCGATTTTTTAAAAATGATAACATGATTCCTGTAATTGCTGATCTTTTAACATGAAGACGATCAATTGTTTAATTTCAGTTGGTTATAGTTAATATTTTTACATTTACCGTAATGTGTATGTTACGATAGTGACATGACTGACACAATGTAATGTAATAAAAAATTTTAAATAATAAATATATGTTCAAATAGTCACAGAAAATATATTTTTATTAATGAATTATATCAAACAATTGCCCAAGTTTTAACGCAAAACTAGTTAATATTCAAGGTTGTTGCTTATTTTCGGGTATAAATTATTTTAGGAGTTGCTTATTTTCGGGGTTGCTTATTTCGGAGAATACGGTATTTCTTTTTAAATTATATTAAGTATGTCAAATAAAATTTTATAATAATAAAGGAATTATGAAGTTATCTATCACAAGTCTGATATTGTAATTATATTCAGCAAAAAAAATAAAAAAACAATAATTGTAATATCATATGGATTCAGTTGTCAAGAAAAACACAGAAATTGTAGTGTTTTTTTTTTTTAGAAAATTAGATTATATTATGGTTTTTAAGTTGTAATTTTCTCAAAAATATATTAGTAACAACCCGTTGTTTTCGCACCAAGATCAATGAACCTAAAATGATATAGTAAATAAATTGTGCGCAAAATAATTCTACAATTCTTTAAATGATCGACACTCATGATACGAATCTAATAATCTAATCCATAGTACAAGGTTTACTTAAACCATAAAATTATCAAATAAGATACAAATCCTTTATTATTAAAAATGTAGTTTTTTTGAATAAAATTTAACTCCCAATTGAAAATATACATTAGCCCAAAAATCATCTATATCTATATCTATCTATATTAATATAATAAAAAAATACATGTCGATCTTCTAACGTTTAGATTAGCCTGTATAATCATCTTTGAATTGTGTAATGCATGATTCATCTGCGCCTAACAGTACTACTAATTATATACTAGCAGTTACCCGTTGCTTCGCACTGGGACTAATGAGTTTGTTTAAATAGGCCGAGAACAATTTGGTATTATAATGTAATACTAAGTAAATTAAAAATGGTTACAGTTTTTTGATTAGTAGAATGATATAAATTATATTTAGAATGATATAATTATAGTGCATTAGAGTAATTAGTAAATATCTGCTTATGAAAAGAGTACATAGTTATAATAAGTATTTGTAATCAATAAATGGGCTAATTTAATTTTTTTTTAATTTCAGTAATAGAATAGCAATGATTAGCAATTTGTATTAATGCTATAATTTACTGATTAATGAATTTTAACCATAATAATATAGATCAAATATTTCAGGAGCAGACAGACCACCCATTACACAATTCAAATTATTTATACAAGATAATCTAAATGTTACAGAATTTTTTTAATTATATAGATGAACAGTATTTATGTATTTATGATATTAATTTAACTTACTTTAATATGTGCTATATAATGAAAAAATTATATGATATATCATATGAAACAGAGATCAAAAATATATTTTATTATGTGTGTCTACTAATTTTATTACAGATTACAAATAAAATTGTAAAATCATACGAAATTATAATATTATAGATAATTTTAATTTTATAATAGCTTTTTTAAAATATTTTTTTTTTGGTAATTTGATAATAAAGNTACGATAATTTCAAGCTACGATAATTTCAAATGATTAACATTCATAGTACGATTTAATGATTTATTATATAATAAAATGATCGGCATTCATAGTACTAATGATATGGTAATGATCGGTATTCACGATATTGATTTACCGATCCAAAAATTTAAACAGATAATAAATCAATAATACAGATAAATAAACATTATATCATTATACAATTTTATAATTTTTTGTATGACTAATCTAAATATGACCCATTTTTTTTAAATAATAGATAAAAGGGTTTAAAATTTGAATGCACCTGCACCCACTCACGTGACATGATTTTAAAATTTTATTGGTGATAATCAATCTATTTTTTATTTTTTACTTTGTTTAGGAACGTTTTTTAATTACTCTTTTTTTGTAGGAATACCCTGAAGACGAAATGGACCCCTAAAAATAAAAGGTGTGTTTTTTTCAATTTTTTTTCCCATTCATTTCGTTCAAGAACAACGTTCCTAACATTCTTTCGTAATTTTTTTTTTATAGGAACACTCCCTGGAGAGACTCTTAAAGACAAAAGGTAAAATTTTTTTTCATTTATATTTGTTAATTTCGTTTAAGAACATTCCTAACATTCTTCAATAATTTTTTTTTATAGGAACACCTCCTGGTGACTCTTGGAGGTGAAAGATAAGTTTCCTTTTTTCGTCTCTTTTAATAATTCCATTTAAGAATGTTTCTAATGTTCAAGGAAAATCCTTTTATATACCGAACCTCTAAGTTTTTTCAGGGAAAGTTCGATATATAAAAGAAAATCACGTGATTAATATCCCAATTTCGGCCAGAATTAAGATGTCTTGGCATCAATTAATTTAGGCAAAAATTAAGTGGTTCTAATTCTGGCCGAAATTAATTAATTTCAGGCGAAATTGGCAAATCATGTGACTGAGTTCGGTATTACCGAACTACTATATGCCGAACTTTTACCCAAACCGTGGGTTCGGTATATCGAGATTTGACTGTACCTAAAGTAATCCCTTTATGAATATCTCAATATAAAATACCAAATTCAATTTTTTTTGAATTTTTTTAAAATTTAATTCCATTAAATTCCGAAAATAAATATTATATATTGAGTCTCTTTAATATTTCAGTATTGTTGCAACAACATGTGAAAAAAAAATCGCGAAACGCCTAAAATTTCATTTTTAAATTAAAGTCTGAATTTATTAAAAATGTGTTATTCGGCAAATTTCTTATTAGATTATAAGAAGTACTAATATTTGCATTGAATAAAAATTTCATTTACGTAGAAGAATTATAAGGTTTAAGATAATGTATGTATTGCTAAAATCTGAAATGATTTTAGATAGAAAAAGAAAATTATTTGATATTTATTATGAATATAGCATATTTTATAACAACAAAACAAATATAAACTTTTAGCTTGAGCCAAACTTTTCAATTTTTCTCTTTCTCCTTTTCTTTTTTGTTTTTTTTCAAAAAAAAAAGAAAAAAAAATTTTTTTTTTTATATTACGACTTATTGAAAAAAAAAATTGAATAAAGTTTTTTATCTTTTCATTCAATCCATAATTCAAATTTTTTTTTAAAAAAAAAGTTTCTTATGCAGAGTATTTTTTTACAAGAAAAATAAGTCAGAGGTTAACCGAATTGTGGAAGAAATATATTTAAAAATACAATATACTATAAATCCTATTGACGCTTCGGATCGAGTTCTTGTTGCAATAATTAAAGCATTAATATCATTAAATAATGACCCATCAAGCCCAAGACAATTGGCGGCATGTATACAAAAATATGGTTTTACGCAGTTAGGGTAAAGTAAATTAAATATTAATTTTTTTTTTTTTTTAATTATTAAATTATATTAATAAAAAATATTTCTTAATTAGTGGTCAAACTCCTTATGCGACAGTATCAGGTCATATATCGACACATTTTTCTCGTGTTCGTAATCAAGTAGTTCCAAATCCAATCATAGTAAAACAACCTCATCCAACAATCGCAAAGAGATCACTATATTATTTCCTTGATCCTGATAATATTTTAAGAGAGTTACTTAAAGAATATTTTTCAATTGATGAAAATTTACAAACTCAGATAACATCATCTTCACCGGTTAAAAGCGAGTCTGATGTTTCAATAATAAATGGGAATCAATATTGTGCTGAAACTCCTCCTTCAACTCCATCTTCGATGAAAGATATCGAAGAGGATGACGATGATGTAATAAATAAACCTATTAGTGATAGCGATAATGCGGAAACGAGGTTTGTTGAATGACATATCCTAAATTTAGGAGGAGATTAATCGACTCTTACATCTTAAAAAGAAAAATAATAATTATATCATTAATATTATCAAACGTTTTAATTTTATTCATATTAATTGCAATGTAAGAAAGGACAATTTTTGTTTTATAAATATTGTAGTGTATTTTTTTTTTTCAAATTAACAATAGCAATTTCAAGCCAACCATCAAAAACATTTTTCTTTCTTCATAGTTTTAAATAGAAGACTGTCTTATACCGTATTTGCCCAAAAATAAGCAATCACCAAACATGGCCCGCATTATAACAAATTTTGGCCCACATTATCAAAACTTGGCCGCAAAACTTGTTGCTTATTTTTGGGCAAATACGGTATATATATCTCGTAAATAGTTAATAGTTAGTAAATAATAAAAATATCGTGAATGATTTTTTTTCTTGAAGGAAAAAAAAAAGAGAGAAAAAAAACGAAAATAAAATTAAACAGAAGAAAAATAACATTATTTTCGTTGGTTTATGTTATATTAATGAATTCTTTTTACGAAAAAAAAAGTCTTTTTTCTCTTATTTTGCTTGATTTTCGCACTGAAAGAATTTTCCGATTAAAACTTGTTCAGAGAAAAAAAAAACATGGTACCCTGACTTTTTTTGCGAGATCCGATCATAATTTAAATAACATAAATATGATATCATCTAATAAAAAATTGTTTACATATTGCGAAATATGTCAAACCGTCAAATATTATCATGATCCTTTTTACCTTTTATTCACAAATTCATACACGTGTTTATTTTTAATTCTTTTGGACAAAAAAATTAAATCCTCTTCGTTGATTTCATATTATGGTTTTCCTAATGTAATGCCGTAATATACCTAGTAAATTTATTAATTATGAGGCGTAGTATTATATTTTAAAATTAGTATATAAATTTTTAGTATTTTAAAATTGTATGACGTTATAAATGTAACGTTCGAGACGATTGCCAAGTCAAGTGATTGGGATGTCAGGTGATTTGAACTGTAGATCATTTTAGAAATCTATAATTAGGAAATTTATATTTAAGGAAATGGTATTGAAGATCAAAAACGAAGAAAAATTCAAAATTTCAAAGAATATGAAAGATACTATTTATGAATTCATATAAATAGACATAAATATTGACGTTGTGGAAATTCAGGTTACGAATTTAGGAATTTATTTTGTCAAAAATTTAATTATTATTTAGTATTGTTAAACCAAGCATATTATTGTATTTATTTATATTAATAAAGTATTAATTTATTAAGCCTAAGGTGGCAACGTGATTTATCACGGGCTTAGGTCTTAATGATTTCTCACGTACGTACAAAGATATAAATATAGAATGTATCTAAATTTACTGTGTTTCAATTTAAAAAGTCACAAACTTTCCATATTAAGTTTAGTATATCTAATTTAAGAACGTGCATGACTATCATTTGTGAGGCTGCGACTATGAAAATTTTTTTTTGAAAAAAAAAAAACCTCATCGATTTTCATTCATGTTCAAGTTTTCGTGATAAAATATTTAATAAAAGAAAAAAATAAGATTACAGAAATTAAAAATAATCAAGAATCTATTAAAAAATTTTAAAGTATCTATGAATTTTCCCTTTTTTATATAATTTAAAAAAAGAAAATTTTTTTTCAGTAGATTGAAGATCTCGAATAGCATAGTATGAGAAGAAAAATATTTTTATCAAATTTAGTTAGATCATAATAACAATGATATGTCCATTTAAAGGAAGTTTATAATTCAAAACGATGAAGAATATACAACTACAAATAAAATATTTCGAATTTCAAAAATTATATAAATCCTTAGCTTTTTCCTTCGAAAAATCTTCAGTTCGATTCGAAAAAAACTAGAAGTCGAAACAAAAAAAAAATAAAATAAAATAAAAACAAAAATAAAGTTAAAGAAGTCTAAAATTCAATTATGAAGTTCACGACTCTTGCTTGTTTGGCAATCTTGGGGATTTCGACCTTGAATGAAGGTGATTATTATTAACTTGATTATAAAGAAAATAAAATTTTTTCTAAATTTTTTCTAATTCAATTTATAATATATGTATAGTCAATGCTGCTCCTATTGCCGAGATCGGAATAAATAATAAACGCGACACAACACCTTCATATGATTATAAAGACAAAAAGGACAAAAAAGATGATTATTATGGTGGCAAAGATGATGAATACTATGGCGGAAAAGATGATGATTACTATGGCGGCAAAGACGACAAATATGATGATGACAAAAAGAAATCCTACTACAGACGATCTGCCTTAGCCTCCCGGGGTAACAAAGATGATGATTACTACGGCGGCAAAGATGATGATTACTATGGCGGCAAAGATGATGATTACTACGGCGGAAAAGACGATAAATATGATGATGACAAAAAGAAATCATACTACAGACGATCTGCCTTAGCC